GGGGCCGCCCCGACTGCCCCCCGCTCGCTCCGACACAGGCTGAGCCGGGCAGGGCACTGCCGGGACTGGGGCAAAGCCGGGATTAGATAGAGCCAGGTCCAGGCCGGGCACGGGCAGGACACGGGCAGGGAAGGCAGGAACGGGCAGGACATGGATGGAGAAGGTGGAACACAGGCAAGACACAGCCAGATCTATGCAAAGGACGGGCAGACTGAGCCAGAGCACCGGCAGGATGCAAGCAGGACATGGCCGGAGAAGGCAGGACACAACCAGATCCAGGCAGGACACAGGGAAGACTTGGCTAGATGCAAGCAACCAATGGTCAGATGCAACTTTGGCAGAGGCAGGACACAGCCAGAGCAGGCAGGACCCGGCAGACCCGGCAGGGCACAGCTCAACACCTTGGTCCCCTGGCCCCAGAGCCCCCAGCTCATTCCCAGCCCAGTGAGAGGGGTCTTGGCCCCAGACCAAGCTTCACAGCCACAAACTGTTGTCCCAGAGTTTGTTCTCCCCTTGCCTGGCCTGCACCCCGCTCCCCAAGTCCTTGGGAGGAGTTCAGGCAGCCAGCATTACCCCACTGCCCACCTACACCCCACGCAGCCCCAGCACTCACCAGCAGCCCAAGCACCATGCTGGGGAAAACTTTGGACCATACGAAAAACAGAGGCACCGGCAGGGTTCTGCTCCAGATCTCTCCCAATTGCCCAAACTCTTCCTAGAGCATTTGGCTGCCCAGGGTTCTGCAGCATCACTCGGAGACAAGAACAGGACAGGGGATGACCCAGGGGACAAGGGTTCTTTTGGGGGAACTGCCCCGAGTAACAACCTCACCACCGTGTGACTCAGTTTCCTCCCTGCCCGCTGCTGCACTTGGCAGGCTGCGGGTTAAGGGCACTGCAGTGAGTCAGACACACTGTCGGATTCCCTTCCCCCGGCAAACCTGGTTTGGGGAGGGAAAACTCAGAAAGTCCCCAGGGTCCCCCCTGGAGTCCCACAGCAGCAGGACCCGAGACCCCACCAGCCCCTCTCTTTTCAAGACTCTAAGCACAGACAGAGTGGGACACTGGGGAGAGGAGGGTGCCTGGGCTGGGGGACCTGGCCAGCGTGGCCAGAGCTGAGAAGGACTGGAGGTGTGTTGTGCCAAGGGATGCTGGCACTGCCATGGTCCCGCTTCCCCCAGCAGATGGGTCCTGGCTCCAGCCTCACACAGACCCTGGCATCATCCTGGCTGCTGCTCCAGCGCTGCCGACGGCAGGAGAATGATGGCAATGCCCCCCTGGTGCCCAGGTTCAGTGGGGTTAGGGGACAAGCACCGTTAATATCCACTGCCTGGCTCCAACCCCCTGGGAGCCTCAGCCAAGCATAAATATTTCAGGGGGCTTGGCAGGTTTGTAATAACTAGCAACAAAGATAAACACCGGGAAGAGCAATATTTTTCCATGTGGGCTGGAGGAGTTTAATATTTTATCACTCAGAGCACAAAATATTTATGAACAATCTTATGTCAATCACTGGCTGAGGACTAATCATGACCTTTCCAAGCCAGGGAGGACACATTCCCACCATGGAGCGACAGACAGACCTCCTCTGCCCCTGGCACCCCCACCCCAAGTCCCAGTTTTGGGCTGCCACATTTTACCACCAGGAAACAATCCCTGGGCTGCTGGAGGCACCAAGGGCACTCAGCAGGTGCTCTGGCACCTGGCATTGCCCCATGGCACCATGGCCATGATGTCCAGGCTGCTCCCTTGTCCCATACTGAAAGGCAGGAAACTGGGACCAGCATAGGCAGCCCTCCTTGCCTGCATTCCCCAGCAGCAGGACAGACAGAATCAGGAAGGCACAGCGCAGGCAGTCTAGTGTCCCCTGCCACAGGAGGAGGCCGAGCAACAGCTTTGTACCTGGCTTTATACTGGTTTTACTCTCCACAGGTTCCCAGGAAGAGTGGAGATGCCACCTCCCTCCAGCTCTGCCCAGCTCAGCACAGCAGCTGGGACCCTTCCTTCCCCACTTCCCCTGCAGCTTGCACAAGCTGGGGACAGACCCTGTGCCCTGCTGGGTTGCCCAGGCAGAGAGAAAGCCTGAGCAGCAGGGATGCAGAGCCCCTGGGCAGCTCCTTGGCTCAGTGGAGGGCTGTGGGGGCAGCTCTCATCCACAGCCCACTCCCCACCATGGGGCAGGATGGCACAATCGGCCAAAGGACAAGTCAGCAACGCACCAGCCATCAGTGACGAAAAGCATCCAATTTATTACAGACCCTGAAGCGCCCGTGGCAGTGCCAGGAGGACCACATGTACACAGGATGTTTCCACTGTTCAGCAAGGGGAAGAGAAGAGGGGAACAAACCCAACTGACCCAACTCACGGCTCTTTGGTGCTAGAAAACATGGTGGTGTAGCAGAGAGAAGCTGTGAGTGAGAGGGGCACCAGCAGAGATGAGGGGGGACATCTCTGATATCCACCACCATCCCCCAGACACCTGCAAGGAGCCTGCAATGTGCCTGGACACACAAACTGCAAATGCATTTCGCTGTCCCCCCAGCCGGCACCTAACCCTGCGCCACCAAGCACCACAGAAATCCCCCCCACCTCCCAGCACCCCCAAACACGGTCAAACACCCTTTCTGCAAAGAGGGAGAGCAGGTCCTGGGGGGAATCAGCGACCAAAATCTCTTGGCTGGAGAGGAAGGAGATGGGAAAGGCAACTGGTTCCCAGTAACTCAGACCCCAGTGGGAGGTGAGGCAGCCAGGTCTCTCTTTACTCCTCTCCTCTCTCAGCAGCGATGGGCTCCTTGGTCCACTTGTCTGCGACCTCCTGGTTGCCTGCATAGCCTGCATCAGGCAGCAGGCCCGGGGCTCCCTCCCCATCCCCTGCCACCTCCAGGTCCAGCTCCTCAAAGGAGGAGCCGCTGGCTCCCGACTCGCTGTAGCTGTGCTCGCTGCGGTTGTCCGCCTCCTCCCGGCCACGGCTGGCTGGGAAGGGCAGCAGGATGGAGGTGGCCACCGAGGTGTCCCTGCTGTCAGTTGTGGCCTCCATGCTGATGGAACTTGTCTCACTCATGGTGTCACCCCCTGGGATGGAGAGAGAATGAGAAAGAGTGAATGTTGTGGGAAGGAGGGAATGGGGATGGGGTGCCACAGCCTTCAAAGCCACCAGAAGCCTCTGAGATATCAGGCCATGGTGGAGACCAGCTCCTACCTCTTGTCACCTCCTATGCCTTTAAGATGTGACCAGGCCAGGAATGGGCTGAGCTCAAACTGCTCCCTGAAATTGGGAACCCCCAAGCCAACACAAGCACCAGCTTCCAGCCATACCCTGAGCTCCTGGCCACACCCTGGCCCCACGGCTGCTCCCCATGCACACACCAAGGACTGGCCAAGCCCTTCCTTAGGGAGAATGCATGCCTGTCTCTGGATGGCACCAGGAATGAGACAAAGAGCAGGAAGAACACTGTGCTGAGAGGGCTGTGTAGAGCTGCAGCACTGTTTAAGCACCCAAGGGGATGATGGCACAAGTGCAAGTCATCAGATGTTCTGCTGTCAGAAGCAGGTATGTAAGTCCAGCCTCATGCCAGGGCATCCTGGTGCCTTCAGCACCTGACAGCCTGCTCCCACTCCCTCCACGGCTCCCCCACAGCCAGCAGCTCTGGCAGCAGTGTGAAGACAGGCAGGGGAGCAGCAGACAGGTCTCAGGGTCCCAGAGGATAGGGGGAACCTTCCAGCTCATTCTGGGCTTCTCCACATGACCTGGCAGCCAGACACATCCCATCTCATGACCAGAACCCCAGGTGGATCCCTTGGCCCACCTCCCCCTCCCCAGATCCCTGCCTCATTAGCTCAATCGACAATACAATTAAGGAGTCGACAAGGAGAGGAACGTGTCAGATTGAGACCAGCAGCTCAGTGCTGTTGCCAGAGCAACCAGCCAGGAGACAAACCCTTCCTGTTAAACATTAATCATTGTTAATTATGACATCACAGATCCATGTGGTTAATTATGACATCACAGCTCCACACTGTTAATTACAATACCTCAGCAAATACTGGGCAGGCTCTTTCATCATGGCCCTCCCTGCTCTACCTCCTCCCTGTCTGCCTTGTACCAGTGGGAAGTGAGTGCCAGGCTCTGTCATTTCCCAGCACCTCCATCCATGCTGGACTGAACACCCGTGCTGAGGATTATGCCCCACACCAGGAGGGAAACCAAGAGGAGTCCTCAGTGGAGGACTGAGGCTTGCCACCAACAGGGCTGGGAAGTGGCAAATGGGAGCCTCTCTGCAGTCATCACTATCCTAGGTGGGAGAGGAGAGCCCTCTTCTCCACATTGTCTCCTGCTGCTGCAGCTCCATCCTCAGCTGCTGGCAAGGTGCTGTCTTGGGCTTCCACAGGCATTTCCAGCCTCCTACAGCTCCTGCAGCCACGGTGCCCAAGGCTGGGCTGCTTGCTCTCCTCCAGCTGTGTCACAGTCACTGATCTGAAGGAGATTCACCAAGGAGGGAACTTTCCTTCCAAACATCCTTAAATCCTTTTTCTGTGCTGTTTTTCTTCCCGGCCTGGGCAGCTGCCAGCAGAACTGCTTGTAAATGGCAGTCCTCTGCCTCCTGAGCAGCATCATCCCACGGTCCTGCCGGCTGAGTGACGGCTGTTCCGGGAGGATCGAGCAGTGGTAGCAGGATGAGGGGTAGCCAGAAAGGATCCACAGACACAGTGCACCCCACTGCTTCATCCCACCTGGATGGCATATTGGCTTACTCCAGGAAAAGAACCTGAGCCTCTACCCTCTCACCTTGGCAACCCTTTTGGCAGCTGGCACAGGTCGGCCCCTCCCCAGGTGACCCCTCCCATGGAAAGCAGGAAAGAACCACTGCCCACTAACACGCACCGCCTTTGCTGCAGCATCAGGGAGCACCTCGACACGGAAACTGCATTTACTCTAAGTTAAAAAGGATGTTGTGCACGCTGCAGCGAGGCGCTCGCTGAAGGGGACAGCAGCCACCGAGTGGGCGGCAGGAAGGCGGGAGATGCTGTCCCACCTGACAGGACCTCGGCAGGGCAGTGGGTCAGCAGGGAGCCTCAGGGAAAATCGAGAGCTGCAGGGGATGAAAGGGAGTGGGCAGACCCTGAGCCTTGAAGACAAATTAGGGTTTGCAAGGTATTTGGTGGTAACCTGAAAAGAAGAAATAATCTGATTTGGCCACACTGGTGGCCTGAGGTGACATGGACATGTTCCACCATGGCTTCATGACAGCTCATGTCATCTGTGGTCATCTTGTGTCCCTCTAAGACCCGAGGGGACAGGAGTGACACCAACCCCCCAAGCAGTGCCCTTCCTACTCAGCACCTTTCCCCTGGCACCCCAGGAAATGTTTTGGCTCAGAAGCTGTCATGTAACCCCATGACACAAAGCAAAGAAGCTCCTGAGGAGAGGAGCAGCAGCTCAGGAACAAGAAGACAGGGATGAAGCTGACCTACACACTGCTCCAAGCCACCACCGTAGGAAAGCACTGCTGTCCTCACTCTCATAGCCACCTTCCTTTCCCTTGCTCCAAGGGCAACAATAAATTGAGTCCTGTTTCCCTTCAGCCAGGCACTTTGTCACTGCTCTGTCACTTCTGATCATGTTCGAGCAGCCTCAGCTGGCAAATTTGCCCATTCAGTAGCCTTGCTCTCCTCTCCACAGGAGAAGGCTGGCTCTGGCATGGCCACTCAGCCTGGCAAGGATAAATGTCTGGGGTGGGCAGGGCAAGAGAGCTACTGCTCTGGGACCATGTGGGGTCAGTTCTGATGGAGGGATGTGGCAGGAACATCCAGATGTCCAAACAGGGAGGCCAGGAAGTCAGTGCAAGGGGCTCCAAGAGGGCAACCAAAGCCCTGTGGGAGGGCAAGCAGGGATTCAGCTCTTATCTCACAGGCATAGGCTTCCAGCAGCTGCTACACCCACTTGTCCATCCTCCACACACTTTGTTGTCTGCCCATGAACCACTGCCTGTTCCTTGCATCCACCTTCCCAAGGCTGGTCCTTACACCAGGAGCCAGTCCAACACCCTGATCCAGCATGGCTTTTCCCTCTGGCACATTGTGAGGTAGCAGCCATGCTGTTGAAACTCGCCCTTGACCTTGCTTGCTCAAGGATGGCACAGGCATACCACTGCACTCTCACTCAGTAGGAACACAGAACCCAGGAGTTTTCATTTGGGAAACAGAGGCACAGCCTGGGTGAAGCCATGATAGGGTGTTGAGGAGTCCCCCAAAAGCCAGGGCCACCTAGGAAGAAGGGATATCAAGCAGCCAACTCCAAGAGACCAGCCAGAGAGGGTGCAACAGGAACCACTTACCCCACACTGCCAATGAGCCTGGTGGGGAGCTGGCTCCCCAGACAGCTCAGCCCTGTGCCATACCAGGTACTGGTCTTCCCAAACCCAGAATGAGGGCAGGTTCTCCTCCTGTGTCACCCCTGTGTCACACTGATGCCTGAGCAGTGCTCTACTCCTGGTGCTCCTGGGCCTTTTCCTTCCCCTCATTCCATCGAATATTCATCACTAAATACAGTGTGCTGCCAGGGGGCACAGCTCCTCTGTGATTGCTGAAGCTCACACACAAGCCACCAGGAGAGGGGCTGGGGCCCTTCCCAGGATGTAGAGGCAGGCAGGAACAGGCAGGGCTCTTCGGAGGATGGAAGCAAGCAAGGACGAGGCAGAAAACGCCAGGAAAGTTGCTCCTCTGTGGCACTGGAGCTCAGCATGTGATGCCATCAATTGTACCTGAATGTTGTGGGACAGATTCTGCTCCAGGAAAATGGGCACCTGAGATTCTGGGCAGAGCCACATGCTCGGGAATCATCTGTGCTCCTGCACAGCCCGTGTGGAGAGGCTGCTTTTGTTTGCTTTCACCTTCCATGCGCAGCAGCGGGGTCACACTGCAGAGCGCGCTGCTGGGAGGGAGCCGGGAGCGAGGACCCGCTGAGTGCCACGCTGATGCCAAAACCCCAGAAAACAATTAAGTACAAAACAAATAATTGTGATTGACACTGGGCCCCTGGAGACCCATCAGCCGCCTTCCTAAAATGCTTCCTGTCTTTCTGATGACCCTGACGATGGCGAAGAAGGGACGGAATTGGTGCAGAGACAGTCACAGCCCCCGGCCCCTTCCTTGTGTGTTGAGTGTGTCCATCCTCAGCAGAGCTGCCACCACCCTGCTCTGTGCAGAGCAGCAGCAGAAAGCACAGACCCTGGACCATGCCCCACAGCCTCTGTGGTCACTGGCTTTGCTCACAGCCACAGGCACCCAGCACCTCCCAGGGTGAGCTCAGGAGCAAGGACAGCAGACAACAGCCTAAATGGAGAGATGTGCTCCAAGGTCAGCAGGCTTGAGAAAACAAATGCAAGCCTTTCTTACACTTTCAAGTCGCTTGGTACTGTCTGGCACCAGCCACAGTGACAGGTGAGGAGAAATGGCAACACCTTCCACTTGGAACTTCTCAAATCTTCAATTCAAAGAAAGCATAATCCATCTGCTGGTGGGGAGTTTCATGAACTGTGACTGACCAGTGGTGTGTTCACATAGAGTGTTATGTTCACACTCAACATAATGTCCACTCTGAAATTGCACTCAATGCTCTTATCTCAGTATTTTGGGAGGGGAAAAATGGGGCTTCTTCTGCTGCCACGTCAGGACAGACAACCCAAAACTTCTGTGCATAGAGCATTCTCAGCTGCCTTTGGGAGGGGAAATGGGGCTCAGCACCTTCCCAGTCTCCACTTACCCATTGAGACAAGTGGGTATCAAAGCCCTACACCTGGATTTGTGCATCTCAGGCAAAGCCAGAGAAGCTGGCAGCCACCATCAGGGACCACCACCTGCCCCCACTGACCCAGGAGCACTGTCTGAGCCTCCAGCAGGGCAGGACCACTTGAAACATCCACACAAAGCTGAGAAGGATCAAGAAATAACCCAAATACAAACTGAGGTTGACTGGAGATCATGCTGACAGGCAGATGGGGACACTGCTGTGCCCACCCTCCAGCTGGCAGAGGAGAGCCTAAAAACTGTCACAGACATCCTGGGATCTGCTGGGTCATCAAGATCTTATGTCCATCACCCCACTGAAGGGGCTGTGACTAACCGGAGCTTGCTTCTAGAGGGAAGAAGGACAAAAAGGATGGGAAAAGAGGTTTTTCTTTCTCCAACTCAGAGGTGGTTGCACAGACCCCAGCACATAAAATCATCAGGAAGGGAGGACTAGTCTCATTCCATAAGGTGTAATCTTCATGGGACCACCAAAGCCTTCAGGCAGGAGCTGCACAAGCAACCCATAGGTTTGCCACATCCTCAGCCAGAGCAAGGATGTGACACCCCATCAGATGTGGTTCTGCCACTGTGCCCAGCAGTGACAACCACAGTGCAACATCCAAGCCTAACTCTTTAGTCTCACAGGCAGGGCCAACCTCACAGTTATTATTATTTTAAGTTGGTTTTGTGCAGACTCAGCAGATGGCACTGCATCAGATTGCACTGACAAAAGCTCATCTACATGCCTGGAAGAACAGGGGTGATGGAGGAGTTAGCCCAGAACTGCTGCTGGGGAGCTGAGCCCAGAATGAGAAAGTCCAACGTCATTTGCCTTCTAAAACTGGGAAGACCTTCCTAGCCCTTCCTCCAACAGAGGGACTCCCCCTCTGTGGGCATGCTGGCAGTGGCATCCCAGGGAAAGCACCAAGACAGCCAGGGCACAGGGCAGTGGTTGCTCCAAGCATCCCTGACTGTGCTGTGGGATCATGCACTCCCTGAGCAGGACAGAGGGAGTGCATGCAGCTATCAAGGCACCACCCTCAAGCTGCTTTTGCTCCCATGGATCCTGCCATCCCTCTCCAAAACCAAGGGGTGACCACAGGAAGATGTCAGAGTGAGTGGGCTTTGGGGCACCTCTGGCCAAGCTGGGCTGGTGCCCCCGACAGCTGCCCCAACACAAGGCAGACAAGGAGGAGAAGAGCCGAGTGAGCACTGTGCCAACACAGGACCTGGAAATGCTGGGAAACAGCTCCAATTAGACTCCTCATTGCAACACTAAATGGACAGAGCTCCCAGAAAGCAATTCCCAGGCTTGCTTTTATGTGATTAAGAATTAAAGCGACCCAAACCTGAAGATGCGTTAAAGCAAATGACCCAACTGCCCGGGAGGCGAGCACAGCCCTCATGGTTTTTTCATGCCCGTTACACAAGAGTGGGCGACCGTGGGGTGGGGGAGGCGCCTGCCCCTGCCAGCAGCCAGCTCTGATGTGCTGTCCAGTGCCTGGGAATGCTTGGATAGCCGGCTCCTACATCTCGCAGGCACGGGAGCATGTGGGCTGCTGAAGGCAACTAGCATTTTGGGTTACTATAGCACTGCTGTTCTGCGCCTACAGCCATTGTGGTCCCTTCCTGTATGAATACATCCAGGCTCCAACAAATCTTGCTGAGCAGATGCTCTCAGGCAACTCCACCACCAGCTACGGCAACCTGATATTTAAGCTCTTTGCAATCCCAATATGTAACAGATGAAGATGAGATCAAGGAAGATGTATATGACAAAGAGAAAAACAAGCCCAGCTGCAACTAAAAGCTGTGAGATCCAGCTCTGCACTGACAACAGTGGGCCAGTGGCTTAACCCAAAACTGCAAGGGTTCCTGGGTGCTCCCCAAGGCATGGCATGGTATCTCAGGGGATGTCATCTCAGACCCTTGAGGATCAGCCCAGAGTGAGGTGAAGAGGTGTGCTAAGACTTGGTGGTTGGGTAGTAGGTGGGCACAGGTCAGTCCCTCTGTCTGCTCAGGCAGCAGGACTGGGGATACCAGGACCCCCTCTGTGAGGGCTGATGCCGATCAAAGACGGAGCCCGTGCACAAGCCACAGATACCTGTGATGTCTGTCTGGGCATCCTCTGCCACAGCTGCAGCAGCCCTGCTCTTCCTCTCCAGTTCTTTCATTTCAGGCACATAGAAGTCCCCTTGGCGGGCAAGGGGACACACGAAGTAGATGCGGTCCTGCTTGTAGATCTCGATCCGGGGGTGGGCACACAGCTTCCTCTCCTGGAAGACACAAAGTAGCCATGGGCAGGGATGTGCCCTCACCCCCCAGCCCAGCAGCCCCCCACCACATTGACCTGCCAGCCTGGCCAGGTCAGACGGGTCCTCTTTGCCCACAGGCATGGAGGCCTAGTGAGGAGCAGAGGGTGCCATCCCAAAGCCACGGTGCTGCTTTCCCTACCACACCAGCTCCATGCACCAGAGCAGGCAGGTTTGTCCCTGGAGGTAAGCAGCCAGCTGGGCTCCAGGAGGAGATGCTGAAGACCCCCAGCTCAGCCTTGTTTTTGATGTGGTTATTTTGGACTGGAGTGAGGAGTTTTGGGGAGCCAAGCAGCTGCTTCACACAGACCTGCCAGATGTCTGGTTCCTCCCAGCAGCACAGCCCCACGAGCAGCACAGCCCCACGAGCAGCACAGCCCCATGAGCAGGCGTAGCACCTCTCTGCTAATTAATGTAATCCAGAGCCGACAGCTCAAGCAGCTCCTTTCAGAACCACAAGGGCAGGGGGAATGGGAGATGAATCTCTGGCATTTCAGACAAGTCCCCCTCCTCCTTTTCCTCACCCCACCTCCCCCTGGCAGACCTCAGACCCCCAGCCTGTCAGGGGCCCATGCCAGGGGCATGTCCCCTGGGCTGTGCAGCCCATGCTGAGCTGGGGGTGTGGGGACTCTTGGGGTGCTGAGGCCGGGCCGAGGAGCAGCTGGACCCCTCCTG